ATGAATTATTTTATTGATTACAGTAGAAATATGTTTATTATTTTTATTACAAGCTGTTAATCATTTTATTCCTTGTTATAATGAAAAATAAGAATCAATTTAAATAAAAGGTTATGTGTAATTTACAAATATCATCCTTTAGGTATATTGCTCCTCTAATTTTTTTGTTTTGTTTAAGATTTCGTAATAAATATTAAATATATATATAAATATTACAGATCAACTGTATGTTTATATTATCAACGGGGTTGAATTCTCTTTATTGAGATCATATGGTATCAGAACGTACATGCGTACTTAATTAGTAACAGAATTAAAATTTGTGCCATATTATTCAGCGTTTATTATTGTACAACTAATACCCATAAAATAATTTAGACACATAAAGTCTATCGCCTTTTTATACCAATATATGTATGTATATATATGGGATGAAAAGAACAGAGTCGTTGTGTCTTTATCTTCTACCTGATTCCTTTCAAATCTGCCAAGAGAAAGATATCTTTATATTAGATCACCTAATTCCCTTCAAATCTGCCAATATGAGGAAGTATTAATCTTTATAAAATCATATTTTTATGTAGACAGCAGAACAGTTAAATTCTAAATTTTTCACTACTTCTTTAGAAATATCTAGCGCCGACATACTAACAGGTTAACAGTTTATTGTTCAGATAATTAAAAATCTAATTAATAGATTAACGGTTTCATTTTCAAATAATTAAAAATCTTCGACAATATGTATGGATGTTCTATTCAGGACACAGTAATTAAATTCTTTTATTCCTCTTATAATTGTTTTATATTCTCTTGTGCATTTATGAGAATGTTCCATTCCAATGCGTATATCCACTGCAAGAAAGGTGTGATTACAGGCTACCTAATCCATTTTTTAACCCTTTATATGCTTGAGTCTAATCTTAAAGCTGTTTTGAATTATTGTTATTTCCTTTACTTATATTTCTGTGGGATGCAAATGACTTTTTAGCTATTTACAAAATAAAATAAAAATATGAAAATAATATAAAATATGACTAACATAATAGCAATCCTTTGTATATTCCTTTATTCAGCAAAAAAAAAAATTATTTTATAATAATATTAAAAAAATTGAAACCGGTTACTTTTAAAGAACAAATTCCATGTATTTATGTTTCTAATATTGCCAGAAAATATTTACAAAGTAATATTTCTGGAAATTTATGTCTTTTTGAAAGTAAAAAGTATTCAAAAACATGAACTTTTAATAAATAAGTGTCTTCTTGAAACTCAATTAAGTTATTATGGTTTTTAATAACATCTTGTTGAGTTTTCTATCAAAGAGTAGTTCTTGAAAATATTTTACTAAGTATCTATTGATTAAATTTTAAGTCGAAACTACATAAAATGTATTTCATTCTTTTTTATTATTTTCAATTGGCTTTATTACTTTTATATATTATTTTTAAGAGCATTTATATGAGTACAAGGAGCTTACTGCACAAAAGTATATTTAAGAAGTCTTACATGCATTCAGAGTTAGATACTTGTAAGTTTATTGTTTTTATTTTACTCCATTAATAAAATAAATAAATAAATAAAATATTGTAACAGAATAGTATTTAGTATAAAGGATATTCGAAGTATTAACTCTGTTTTTAAAAAGGATTTATTTCATTTCTGTTGAGTAACATATTTATTTGTACACATAATACTCTTATAAAATTAAATTATTTAAATGAATTTATTCAAATAAAAATATGTGAATTTCATATGTGAGCAATAATTAAAATACATTTTTTTTTGTTTATTTAACTCTATGAAGACTCTTTTAAAAATTTAAGATTCTAGTTAATTCAATTTATTTACTCCCTAAATAATATTAACACTCTTGTTAGAAGCATAATAGAAACAGAAAAAAAATTTTTCAATCTGATCTGGCAACAACCACAGGTGGAATCTGTCCCTTTGACTCAAACTGCAAAAACTCCTCTCGATAAAAACACAACCAATGAATAAAAAGTCGAGTGTACTTTAAGATATCCTTTTCGCTTCAATTGAAGGAATATTTTCTTAATATTTATATCTTACTGACGAAGCGTGTAGACTATCCGTCGTCGTTTTATTCATTTGAAGTGGATTTCCACAGATTAAATCATTAGCGGTTCTTCTAGCTCCTTGAGAAAAATATACTATTTGTCAAATATCTGAAGCCTGTGCAATTCTGTGGTAAATGATTTACTTAGTTCCAAGTGTATTCCTTTTTTTGCACCTATCACTACAAAATAACGACACGTAACTTTTGCTACTTACATTTAACTGAATTAGTGCCACCTAATAAGCATATGGAATTCCTTCCATGTTGATAAGCATAATAAGAAATTTATATGAAGATGCTACAGGTAAAGTTGTACATGCAGACCAACTAAGTGAGTCTTTCCCAACAAGATCCGGGGTTAAACAAAGTTTTGCTCTCTCCCAACTGTTTCTCATAACGACACTTTAACTAGGCTGATCTTAACAGACGTATCATACATTTTAAATTATATGAAAAGCTAAACCACCGGCAAACGCCGATAATGTTGTATTGCTTTCTTTCAATCAGAATGAATTGTAAGGTATGCTTACCCTACTAACAAACGTCTCTTTGAAAGCTGGTTTTAAAATTGCATCAAATTTATTACGTCTAAATCAAAATTTATGTGTATCACAAAAAAAATTGGTCTAATTTAGACAGGAAACGAACTAGTCAGCTACCTCAACGGGCCTCTGCGAAATAGGAAGGCATGCTGTCAGATTGGGTCTACCCTACAATGACTTTTGTCAAGGCTGTGGTTCTGAATATGAGGACGAGGATGAGGAAGAGACCGTGCTCCATCTCATGTGTCAATGCTCTTCTTTAGCCAGAAGACACTTAAAAATTTTCGGAGCCGCTTTTCTCACCGACCTGATTGAGCTGTCATTCTGAAATATTGTAACAACTGTCAGGTTGGTTTTCCTTTACCTAATGGGGGAGTTGTTAACTTGTTCACTGTTAGCTGTACATTGATCTCAATCTATGTGCGTATCAATGCTATTCCGTGATACCACAATGGACCATCATTTGAGATCAAGTGAGTTTTTTGGAAAAATGGCCGCTACTCCAACCTAGCTACCTACAGAAAAATCTAAATCGTTTAACGCGCTTAGTATATATGGCATGGAACAGAGACAACTTGAAACTTTTTTAGAAAGACTAACTTCTTAAATATGCAATCATTTTCTAATTGTATGTGCTTTTGAAACATGTCATAATAATAATGATAATAATACTACTATCACCTAATTGCAAATTTGAAAAGATCAATTTCTTTCTGCCGATACTTGTCAAGTTTCCTATCTTCGATATGCTTAGACTTAATAATCTTCTAACTAAATAAAGTTTATGATTCAAAAAAAATCATTGAAGTTGTTCAATTTTTATATTTCAGGGGTATAAATGAAATTGAGAAATTGACAATTTTCCACATCTTCATCAAGAAGTTAATATATACATATTCATATACTTATATCTGTCTTATATCTGCGCCAGTTTTCATATGGTAATTGCTTATTGCATTCAATTTAATTGGTTTACTCGTAATTAAAATTCATTTTAAAAAATATATATTAAATATATTTCAGTTGCAGCGCGGTAATTATAAATTGGTATATGTCAGTAAAAGGTGAATTAATGAATTTTTAAGCTGAAAACTCATCAATACGAAAAATTTTATAAAAAGATTTAAATACATTTATTACGTAATATTTTTTTTATCAGTGAATAAACTTTTCTTTTTTAATTTTCGTTAAGTATGACTTCATGCTTTTTGCTTCAATGGCATATAAATTTAATTTATAAAGGCACATCCTGGACTATGTGTGCTAAAGTATGTTCAGTAAATGGGTCGGCACATTTACAACTGAAGCACAAAATTCTTTTTGGATTTATATTTGTTAGATTACGTTCGATTGGGGAGATGGACTTGCACAACAAAGTTCACAAATAATGGGCCAGTATAATATCACTGATTTGAATTGTAGAGTAAAATAAAGAAACCGAAAAGGAAAGACAAAATAAATCACTTAATGTTTCTACAATCTTTTTGTGGTTCATCATTTTAGATAACCGATCTAATATAATACCTTATATTTGAACGATGTTAGCACACCACTCTTACTATAAGAGCTAAATACTTTTCGGCCGTGAAGAATATTTAGAGTAGTTGTACCACTATTTCAAGTAGATTAACTGTTAGACTAGCAGAATATTAAAGGTGACAAAATGAGATTTTCATCACCGGTACGAGAGTAACTATACGTTTAAAGGTATATTAAGTATTGTGATGTCACAATTGTGACTTATTTTATATCGACAAGACTTACTAATGGAATATTTAGGATAGTGTCGAAACTGATTATAGAAGCAAGCAAAAATTACTTAATAACAAATATTGTGAATATATGTACACATCAGAGCAAATCTAACAAAGTGAATTCTTCTATTCTTCTATCGTTTTCTTTGTAGCAATAGGTGGAACACATCAAAACCACATAATATGACAAACTCACTAAAACCACATCTTAGAAATGCATGCTACGAATAATACCAGTCCGCTGTTCCTTAGTAATAATACTGTTTCGTGTTGTCATACGAGATCTGACGACGATCTCTTACACAGTATGTTAATATCTGCGGTAGCATAAACCCATTGTCGTTTAAGAGTTTTTTCCAAAAAAATAGTCTACTGTTATCGATCAAATATCGCTCTCACTTGTTATTTGACTTGTATAACTACTTTCTATTCCTAATGCTAAGATCACCACTTTGATGAAGGCGTTTAGAAAGCGCTGGGGTCTAAATAAATAATGATTGATTGATCATTTTTTGTGTGTTTTATATGATAATTTCAGATATTTTGTTGGAATGCACTTCTTTACAGTATATACATTTTTTTTATTTTTATTTTGCGTTTATTTTATTATTTTAAAAGAAAAATTATTTAATTTATTTTGACATAAACATTGACATCGGCGCGAGGAATATTGTAAGCGAACCACGTTGACTTTAAAATAAACGCATCGTTTGGAATTGGCAAACCTTTAAATTTACCACTTAAAAAACTTGTATCAAGTTTGTCGATAAAGACATCGTGCTGAAATATATATATTTTTTGGAATAATTAGTATATTTTATAAATAATAATTTATTGGTACGATTCTGATTTCCAAGGCAGGCCCATTTGAAAAATTTCTCCAAAGGCTAAGCTTAGCTACAAGCTTAGCTTAGTTTTCGAGATGTCGCGCCTTAAAGGACAATTTTTATATAGGAACAAATACAATAGAACTATGTATTTGTTGTTACTCAATGTTTATATAATCAATGTAAAAGTATTATATAATAGTTGTGCTATGTAATGTTTTGTTAGAGTAATCGATGTCACGAAAAGTGAACTCTACTAAAATCTGTTATCAAATCAAGGTACCCGTGAAATCAGAATGACTCCCAAGCAGTAAAATATAATAAATATACATACATTATAAGGACAAGTATGGTTCATATTTGAATGCTGGACTATTAAACCGTAAAAAAATTTTGCTATTGGATCTTTTGGCGATCTTAGAAATTCGCAAGCATCGACCGTAAAATTCGACAGGAATGGCGTATAACCATCATCTCTTCTTAAAAAAGTATAGCGAATCTGAAATAACAAATAATAGTAAAAAATTAATAATTATAATAAATTTTACATTAATAAAACACAACAAAAATAATATAAAATAGAAAACGCACCGTTACATTTGTTACTGGTATCTGAAAAAGCCTCGCCTTCACTGACATGTATTTATAAGACCGATTTACTGACCTTAAGTAGCAATATTCGAAATCGGTGAATTGCTTATCATGTGACTTGCATTTAATATTTGTGAATTCAAGTAAAGACGTAACCTGGAATGAGTTTAATTTCAATTTTTTCAGTGTTTTTTTTATTAAGCCCCATCTTACATAAGTTAAATATAAAGTAACAAAAATTGTTTTTATTAATAAAAACTTGGGGGATGACATTTTCGCAGATAATTACAAATTTGGAAATATTCTTTATAGATCTGCAATGGAAAAAAATACTCGTATATCCACCAGCTGACTTCACTAAAGATCGTATAATTATTAACTAAAATTCGATTTCCAGAACAAATTTTAAATGTATGAATATAGGTTTTAAATGTTCTTATTAAAAATGCATTAATAAAAGCATTATTTTCATTAGTTTGTATATAAATATTTTAAATATATTTAATGACTAATTACACTGACTAATTATTATAATTATAATTATTTTAAATGTACTCAGATTTAAAAGTAGCGACTTCATTCTACAATATATGTAGTGTGGTAAAATATTAACATACATACACATTTCAGAGAGAGTTCAAAAAGTGTGAAAATAATACAATAATTATAGCAATTTTAAATCCAGTTGTTAGTTTCAGTATAAATTGATTTTCAAAAATTTTCTTTTTTTCTACAATTATTTTAACTATTTTTATTTAATAAGAGTAAAAAATTTTTATATTCAGTATAAGATAAACTACAATACATAATGAATGTCGAAAGGGCCATCCTTCAAATAATTGCAACGCGAGAGCTTATAAACCAATATAAATGGAAGAACAGAGTACAGAAAGGTATTTTCAGACAGAAAAATAAAAAAAATAGATGGAGGTAAGTGCAAATAGAAAGAAATGAGATATGAAAATAACTTAAAAGTTCTAACAAAAAGTTGTCTGTGTTTTATTAGGTTTTAAAACCAATGTCTTCCACTGCGAGAACACCGAAAAAAAGTATTGAATATTGGTTAACCTTTCGAGCACAATAGAGGGATTACAAGTATTTTAGTATACATCTTACTTTTGATAACATTGAAAGTAAACTGCAAGAAGTAATTGATGAGAATATAATTATTGCTTCACCGTTTAATTGTAACAAATTATCAAAGACCATTTAAACAAAGACAAAACAACAAAGGCGTGGATAGATATATTTCTCTTACCAAAACCAACAAACAGCTCCCCGAGATGCACTCCTCGAATATCACGTTTACAATGGTTGAACTGATCATTAAACGTTCACTTGAGGGTAAAGGGTTAGAATATTCCCGAGGACTAAAATCCCGACGATATGCCGACACTGTTTTGGAGTGTGCATGGTAGTAAGTGACACGGCATTTGCGTCAACCGACCAGAAGTATATATCTGGTACTACGGGGGTCAGGTGCTGGCAGCTTTGGCTGTCCTAGCCAAGTGATGGTTGGAAGAGAAGGTTAGTGGCTGTGGTTATAACCCAAACTCACGCGGGAAAAATTATAGGTATTTGTTTATTATTCATTCAGCGTGGAGTTGCGTATTCACCACCGGGGCTCGAGACCCTAAATTCAGCAGAGATATTAGTAGGCCTCGCTCCTTTCCAAGGAGGAAGTTGGAAATTCATTTGAATTACCAATGGTTTGTTAAGGCTTAAGACCTTGGTGCTGTTAAATAGGTATCCACGCTTAATAACACTGTTACTTATCATTTAACGTAGACGACATATAAAAAAGGTTGTATACATGAACATTCTTACTGGGTCCAAATTAGATAAGAAGTAGACCATCTATTTATTTGAACAAAAGCGAAAACCACTCAGTACTAAGGTATCGATGCTGACAAATCACTAAGTGTTAGGAAGACATTATATGTCACATCTTTAGAAAATAAAAGATTAGGATCCGTTTTCTTACCAAAAATATGTAGAATATGTACACATGCAATAACACTTCGTTATCCTTTGTTATTATAGTTGTGACCTTACAGAGCTTAAAACTGTGCTCCAGTCTATGTGTCACTGCCCATCTTCGCAGAAGCAGAAGATAAAAAATTATTAAAACCCTTTTTCTTGCTAACCTATTAGAGTTGTCATTCTGTAATATTAGTGACATACCTAAGTTTTTGAAATGATTAAGTTGGTTCCATTTTACTTGAATATATCAATCTATCTTTTTTTACCAGTATTCTCCATGTATTGATTACTTCAGTCTTTATACTTTGTGGTCTTTACCGAGTTCGAGTTTGTGGTCTTGTATATTTGGTGTGTTAATAACGTTTATTCAAGTATTTTGCAGAAGGCAACTACTTCAACCACGACATTGCCAAAGTCAAGCAAATAATGATGACATTAGATAAGTCGTGTGGAATGAATAAAGGTGAATAATTCCAGCAAATAATGTATTTAAAATGGTACCATCATAAAAAATCATTTAAAAAAACAACTTTCTTAAAATGAATTATCCTTACTAGGTAAGCTAACCTAACTATAGAGAGTTATGCACTTTACGTGCTTTATTAGTATACCTACACCTTACTTTTGGTAATATTGAAAGTAAACTGCAAGAACGACTGACAGAGAATGCCAAACGTTACCAAAATTTCCATACTATACCATTGTAGATCTTTATATTGTTACTTATATTGACCATTTACATAAAGAAGAAAGTGTATATACTATAACAAATTGAATAGAGAAGTTGAAACTAGACTTATGGAAAATTATCACATTTTCATTTTAATCTACGATATGATAATAATTCCCTTTGTCATTGATTTTTAAAAATAAGAAATCTTTCGTTATATAAGTATATGCCTAAATACACTTATAATATATATATATATAAATATGTTTGCACTCAAATATGAAATGGAAATTCTTCTCAGACAATGTGTGATTTATTTAATTTACTTTAAAACAAATTTCCATAAAAGAACAGAAAATGCTTTTAGCAATAAAATATTTCTCTAACACACTTGGTAATAAAAATATATTTACATTTACCTTTAAATTTTGGTACTATAAATTTTTAAAGCTATAAAATACATAAATTTAATATGTTTTTACTTAAAATTAAAAATATAAATTTAAATTATTTTCTTAATGCAGCTCCGAACAAAATTTCAACTCATTTAACCCATTAAAGTTAATTAAAGTTCTTCCTTACTTCAATACAGAACACAACATAGTAAAATATATATAGATAAATAAATATATAGATATAAGAGAAATAGATTAAAAAAGAATACAAAAAATATATATAATGAAAAAATATTACAAAATCTGAAAAGTAGTAGTACTGAGTATAATAAATTCAGTTATTATAGCTTAAAATTTTACTTAAAATTCAAGCACGTAATGTGCACTAAAGTTTTTATTTACAACGAAGGATTCCCTTGTTGTGCATTATCCTTTGACTCGTGAGGTGTTTTCAGAAAACTTTCAATGTTGCGATTTCGTGCACTTTTCTTTGCAGGCTTTTAATATATGTATGTATGTATATGGGCTTTGTGTGCATTATACGGCACAAGACCCAGAGCGAGAGATAGCAAGTTCATTTCTTTATACTAGTATCACATTTTTTTTAAATTATCTTATTAATATTTTACTTATAACTTTAATTAGTTTGCAAGTTTCACATTTAAACTAGTCATTTTCAGTGTAAAAATTTTATTTTAAATATTAAATGTTAATTTTTTTGACGAAAGTGATGCGTCTTGTGACGAAAAGAAACTTTTTAAAAGTTAGAAGGGTCGAGTAGAAATGAAAAGACACCAACAAAAATTTTAGTTAATTTATTGAAATTTGGCTGACTATACAACACTGTTTCGAGTATTGCCAAGTACTCATTAACAGTCGTCTTAGGAAATATTCGATTTTTCTAATTAGTTTATAGTCCATATATATCTAATTTGTTTGAACTGCAAGTGCCACGCTTAGAACTTGTGCCTGTCAAATGATTAGCAATGATTAATCGTGCTTAATATTAAATGTTTTTTTTAAATATTATTAAGACAATTTTTCTTCCAACAATACTTAACTCTTTATAAAGCATTCAATTTTAATTTTAGTAATTAAATAATTTTAGTAAATTTTAAATTAAAAATTACATCATGATTAAATTATGTATAAATTGTCGAGTAAAAAAAACATCAGTTTTCTTATCATAGGAATTTTTTTAAAAAATAGAATTGCTCAATAAAATCACTTTTCATAATTTAATTCTATTCAGTTCAAATAAAATCCTATTAAACCCTTGACAAACCCTCTCTATGACAGACGCTCTTATTTAAGTCTTATAAATTACAATTTATAAAATTAAACTATTCGTTTTTGTTTAAAGTTATATATGATGAAAGCTACCAATAAAAATAAAATGCAAATAAAATAAAAATAAAATACAAATAAAATCAATAAAAAATAAATAATAAAATAAAAATGTTATATTTAAATCTATTGAAGTTTTTGGCTTTCAAGTATTGCCAAATACTTATCATCAGTGCTCCTTACGAATAACTCTTATTTCGAACTCTTTCGAATTGTATCTTTATATTGTAAAATGCATTTTAGTAAAGAGGTTTCAAAAAGTAGTGAACTGCAACAACATAAATTCTTTTATATTATTTTAATTAATTGAATTTTTGGCTAACCAAACAGCTGTTTCGAGGTTTGCCAAATACTCATAATAAGTGGTTTTGGAAATATTTCTTGTATTTAATTATTCGTAAATAATTTTTTAAGACTGCAAGTACCATTAATCGAACTCGTGCCCTGTCAAATTTTAAGTTCAGATTCAGCGTCAAAAACGTATTTTGTATAAAATAACTTACGAATCTGAAATTTATGCTATTTAATTTTAAATAGTTTAATAAAAAAATATCAATTTAAAAAAACCCAAGTGATTTTTGCGTAACATTTGATTATTTTAAATAACGTTTTATAAATTATATTAAAATAAACGAACAATAAATTTTTCAGCATCTTTTATTCAATTTCTACAATAATTTTTGGTATACTTCTAAACTGGATATTGTAGTATCCTGGGGGTATATTCCTCAACTCGACCTCAACCTCAATCTCAACTGTGA